ACATGAAGCAGTATTACGATGCTACTGGGTGTGTTCTTCGTTATTTTGCATTGTTGATTCATTCATATCAAGGTTTTCAGGTATCCATTGGTAGTTAAACTCGGCACGATTTCGAGCGATGGAACTGCGGACGTTTTTAGGTTTATTGCTTTTTCTGTTACAACATTAAACTTCTCATATAGTTGCGCTTTCCAGCTACGATGAGGATGACGCTGTTATCGATCCCAACCTAGAAAAGCATCTAGCTCATTTTGGTATAGATCCGAAGAAATTGAAAAAGACGGAGAAAAGTACACTAGAATTAGAGTTGGACATGAATCAAAAGTGAGTTGCTTACTTACGATAAGATCATTTAGAACATTTCGCTACGATTTTCGTTGTTTCGTTGTGATTTAGGTGGGAGTGGGCGAAATGTCAAGAGGATGGTGCAAGCTTGGAGAATATTTTCGGACCTGGATACACCGGTTTGATCAACATCGGATCTAGCTGTTATATGAATTCGGTATGAACGCTGTTTTTGGTAGTGGTCAGTGAAGATATGATTATTTCTTGTGTAGGTTTTGCAATCTTTGCTCGTTGTTCCGTCATTTGTAACGAGGTTTGTGGATGGTGCTGGTCCGATATTAGCTAGGATACCTCCTCTTGATGTGAGTCTCTTTGTTTAAGTTGTTCTAGCAAGTTTTTAATTATCGCCCTTTGTATAATTTACTTCAGTTTTTCTTACAAGTCGCTACAACGCTATATAGGGCGGTAATTAGTCATCGTTAAGGTACATCATGACTTCAACGCACAAGTGGCTAAGTTATTTTCTGCTATGGCTAGTGGAGATTATTCGGTGGTACGTTTCAATCGTGATTTGTGATGTCTTTAGGATTGAAATTTCCGGCTCGTTACCTTGAATACGGTTTTGTGCATTAGATTTACAAGGAGTTTAGGAAAATAGCACCATGAATGGTATCAAACCATCACAGTTCAAACGAGTCGTTGCTGGAAATCATCCTGAGTTTTCTTCCAGTCGGCAACAGGATGCAGAAGAGTATGTCAGGTATGCTCTGATCGTATACAAAATAGAAGGTTTTCATCGACGTTTTTGTTGCTGTGACGTAGTTTGATTTTTTACCGTTTTACCCTAAAATTCCCGATATTTTTTCCCTTTTGCCTTCTTAGACTTGATTTTCTCCTGTTCCTTTAAAACTCGTCCTCGTTTCAATTCTGATGCCCCATTCCATTTGAATCTACTTTCTTTATGGTCGCCTTTCACCTTCTATGTTGTTTGAACAAATGACTTTGTCGAAATAAGTGCTCTCTAATGTTTCCTTGAATGTACTAATTTTGATTCCTGAAAATACGCAATTCTTTTCAATTCTCTGGGGCCCCCCCCCTCTACCCTCAGATTTATGCTTAAAAAGTAACCCTGTGGTTCTACTTTGTGTTAATGTTTAAACCGGCGTTTGTTCCTCGCATAGACTTCTCTCTGCTTTGAAAGCATCAATATTATCTCCTTCAAATTTTGCGTCCATGTGAGTGCACCCATTACAAACGCTGCTATCCCGGCATATCGGTAATTCCTCACAAGGCCCATTGAATTCGGGACCAAAGAGTTACCGAAAGATTCATTTAAATGCCGATTTCTCTTACAGTATCATCACTACTGTTTCTCTTGTGGATTTTTTTTTTCGGAATTTTCAATTTTTTAAGGTTCCTTTTGGACAAGATTTCATCGAACACACCTGTTGAGGTTCACGACCCAACTCTATCATTAAAGTGGGTGTTTTTCATTTTCCATCGTCTTCTCCAACACAGGGAATCCTGAAAAGTTATATAGTCGCAGTTGCATTTATAAGTCTGGTTCAGATTCAAGATGGAAAGCAGATTTGAGGATATTGCGTCTACTATGGTGCGGTACACAGATAGAGAAGAAACAGTGCTAGCTGTACCGGTTCCAAAGGTATTTCCAATTTTTCGTTCCCCTGAAATCTAGTTAAGTTATGCAGTTGGTTTTAGGCAGCGATTAGGGCTGGAGATGGAGAAGGCCAAAGATCCACAGTTGCTCTTACTGATTGTCTTCACGCTCTGTTTGAACCAGAAACGATTGAGGTTTTGAGCAAATTCAGAATTGATTTTTACAGCTAGAAATCGTATCCCATCGCCTACTTGGAAAAGTGTTCAATATTTTAGGACTTTGTAAGTCCTATTACAAAGGAGAAGAGGGGAGCGCGAACGACTATACGGTTCAAAACTTTTCCTGACTTCCTTTTCTTGCAAGCACAGGTAGAGTCATTTACGGGTATCGTTCCCTATATTTGTTGGTTTGTATTTTCGTGGGCTTTTGAAATACCTGTGATAAATATTTTTCAATTTTTTTTTGCAAAATCTATTCGTTTATTTTAGAGATTTTACGAGTTCAGCCTGATTTTACCGTGAAGGAAACTACGAATATTGATTGCAGGTATTGTTCACTAGTCACAATTGACAATGTCTTGAACTTCGCATTTCTGTTTTAGATTGGGAATAGTTACTGTTTAACTGCAGACGGGACACTGCGCGCACATTGTCGTTGCCCGGTTGAGGGTCTTGGCATGTCCCTCACGTACCTTGCTTGTTTATACTAAAACAGCTAATAAAAATCGGGTCGTGTCTCGCCCAGTAGCTACGTTCCGTATATCTAGCATGTGCTGTTCTCAGTGTCGTTCCTTTGACCCACTGAATTAAACTTAACGATTATTGGCCTCGCCCCTCGCGAGCGCATGGCGTTACGAGCTAGGTGAGGTAAAGGTTTTAAGGTTTTCGCTGATATGATCACTCGTTTTTATGAAACGCATTGCTGTTCCTGTATATCCTTAGTGCATTTTAGATGCGGATTAGGGTCTTTTACGTGCTTTCTTTAGGCAACCCAGCGCGCAATTCAGTGTTTTGTCTTTCCAGATTACTCGCTCCCATAGGGACAGTTTGCTTTGTTAACTTGGGTAAGCCCGAATCCGAGATTTAAACCCCGGATTATGTGCGCGGCTACTGGCCCTCTGCCCCATACGTATACCGTACAAATGATGTTGACACTGACTCAAAATTTCTCCATTTCTATGTTTGGTTTTGCAAACGAAGATGTCATTGATTTTTTTCAGGTTCCGGATGAAATAGATCTGTCCGGTCTTCGAGGAATTGGGAAAAAGGAGAATGAGGACACTCCTCCCTGATGACGCAACGGCATCGCCACCTCCGGCGCTGCCAGACTATGATAGATCTATCGCGGAGCAGGTGTGTGCTTTTGGAATATTTTCGATGATTCGCGTTTAACCTTGTGTTTCAAGTTAGAAGCGATGGGATTCACGAGAAATGCGTCGATCAAAGCTGCAATAGAGACTGGTAGAAGTGGAGGCGTCGAGGCAGCTGCCGAATGGGTTATGCTTCGTCTTGATGATCCGTCCCTTAATGACCCACCAGCGGTCCCTGCTGGTCGTCCAGCTTCAGCAGGACCGGCGCACATGGAAGGGCTCAATGAGCTCGTAGCTTTTGGTACGATTATTCCTTATTTCTGTGTTATCATTTGATGTGAACGTCATGGTTCCAGGATTCACGCCTCATCAAGCTCGCTACGCATTGAGCCGAAATCCGGACGCAAACGCGGCTGCGGGGAGTGGTTTATTTGTTCACGCTGAAGAAGTAATTTTTCAGCTTCGTCGGTCTGACCGGTTTTCTGCGGTTTGCTTGCTTACTGTCAGCTGTATATGTGCAAATACTAATTTCTCTATCGAAAGTGCAGATTAAATTCGTTCTCCTCCTCTGAATTGTGTGCCGTGGACCTCGGAGAGCAAATACAACACCTTTGGAACCGGGCGTACATCTCGTTGAATTCAGGTGTGGGAAGCGGCAAATATCGCCTTGGTGATTGTGCGAGCCTCACAAAATCTTGGAAATAGTCCGTCATCGTGCTGGCCACTACGTGGCTCACGTGAAAAAGGAAGATAGATGGGTAAGTTATTTTTTCTTTCAACAGATTTTTTCATCTCCCTTTTTTTCTTATCTTCCATCTCTTGTCCTTGTTTTTTTGAGTACACACGAGTGTTAAGGCTCTTGTGGGCTCGAGAGGGAGTTAGGTGGTAGGGAGCGGGTTTCCGACCAGAGGTCAACGACCCTTCCCCTCCTAAGCTCAATGAGTACGACCCTCGTTGTTGTTAATCGTAACAACGTAGGGTTGACCCTGATATCACGAGGGTGTCCCCCAAGAGGCCCATCGCGCGGCGAAGGAAGAGACGCAGATGCGGCAAAGGACGAGTCGCAGCGCGTGCTGTGCGATATGAGACGTAGTATGGTACACTCTATTTAACCTGACGCCTAACCGCTACAGTATGCGCTGCGACTCGTCCTTTGCCGCGTCTGCGTCTCTTCCTTCGCCGCGCGGTGGGCCTGTTGGGGGACACCCGGTTTCGATGAAGTGGTCTATATCTCCGGAAAAGTTCTGGGTAGAAGTGATTTGATGTTCATTATGTCGATGTAAAAGCTTTCTCTCATTTTTCTTCTTAATACCCCAATCCTCAGTTCGGCGCTACAAGGTTCTTCCCGGGCACCTTCCCATACATGAAACTCGTTGCTGCTGTTAGGAATTTGTACTGGTTTTTGTCGATTACCAAAAAAAGGCACCACTCCTCGAGTATTTCTCACTGCATCTGTCTCTCAAACAGAGTAATATTCACTAGTTGGAGTGTTTTGCTAGGATTATTTGTTTCAGATTCTTTTTAACGATGAAAAAGTGGCAATATCGCAAAACCCACCTCGTCAATTGGCCTATCTCTATCTATTCCAAAGAGCAGAGTAAAGGGTATGATCATCGTATGTCAAATTCAAAAGCAATCAGCAAGTTCTTGTCTTTTTTTCGGTTTCTTTTTATTTATTGAGTACACGTTAATGTCTACCTTAACATTTGTGTATTGTTAAAGTAAAGGAAAGAAAAGGAATTGATATCAGCTTCATTGGAAGTTCAACGCCAATTATCACTATCAATGTATCTATACGATAACTGCAGTTACTGTAATGTTTTGAAAATTGCACTCTTGACTTAATGTGTTTGTAATGCTCCTAACGTTTGTGTTGTTAATAAGTTATGTGCGTTATAGATGTTCTATCTTTCATTTTTATTGATGATAATGAAATAATGATTTCACGTAATAAATGGCAAGAATTGTATGAGAAGGCACGGCAAAGAAAGCAGTAGAAAGTGTTGTGGTTGGATGGATGATGTGAGGAAAGTGTACACTAGAGGTTCCTGAGAGAAGAGCGAGGCGTGATGAAGGTACGTACAAGAATGCGATACGAAAGACTAGTTCAATGAAATACAATACCAATTGGCATAGATTGAGAATAGAGTAGATGTCCTATACTCAAACAAATGCGATCAGATCGTAACCCGTTCACTGGTATCTCTGTGCTACGTGACAGTAATAGGTAGGACAGAAATGCACTTTTGGACACATATATTCAAGCGAATCTATAGTAGATAAGTATATAGTGATGGAGAAGTTACGCTGCTATTGTACGGATATAGGCGCTAAGTGAGTTGGAGGGGGTACCGCACGGCGGCGCGGTGCTCTGCTCGTCTGGCGCTCTCCCAATCGCCATGGCGCTGAGTCCAGGGGCGGTATTCAATCCTTCCCCCAGGGGGATATATCCCCCTACTCTGATTCAATCCTCTGGGGGGACAAAAAAGGGTTGCGTCATAGGACCTAGCATACCTCTGTGTTTCTACCTGCCAGACAGTTAGAGCAGCGCGACCCCTCAGGGGAAAAGAGTGCTTCATCAGTGGAGGGTAGTAGCGCTGCTC